CTCACACACACACACACACACACACACACACATACATGCAGGCTGTAAACAGAAGCAGAGTTTTTCTTTTGTGCCAAATAAGCACACAGAGGCTGAATATGAATTATAAATGCTCTGCCCATAGTTGAGGCTTATTACTAACTAGCTCTTAAATTTAAATTAACCCATTTTTATTTGTCTATCTATGATTGCAGGGATTGTGGCTTTACCTGCCCCCCAGCATCTTGCTTCCCCGGAGGCTGGTTCATGTCTCTTCTGACTTTGCCCTTTCTCCTTCCCATCATCCTTAGTTTGGTTACCCTGCCTATACTTCCTGCCTTGCTGCTGGCCAACAAGTGTTTTATTAAACCAATTCCAGTGACATCTTTACAGGGTACAAGAAGATTAGTGCACAGCAGCATGCACAGTGCATACATTTGGGACTTCCTTGGCCTTGGTTAAATTATGTCCCTTCAATAGTGCTTTCACTGCTATTGCAATCTTGGCTTCTTCAGTCCCTAAGACCATCAGTGATAACTATCACAATAATAAAACATTACTTAAGGTTTTCTGATTTGGGTGGATTTTGTTTGGTTGGTTGGTAGTTTTGTTTTTTTTTTTTTTGTAGTGACATTTGTATTAAATTAATAAAAATTTACCTAATTTTATGAATTAAAATTGTAATTAAAGGTTTATAAGAAATAACCATTTTATATAGTTTGTTTCAGATCTTGAGTTTAATACATGCTTAACATGTGCATTGTATCAAGGGAGAAACTATCTGAGTCAGGCTTGAAATGAGCTTTGTTTGTAGATAAAGTTTCACTACACAGACAACAAAATTCACTCGTTATAAAATGTTAAGTCGGCATTCCATATCTCTTAATCTCTATAATGAGTAGAATAAGCCAAAGAATGATGATCTGTTTATTTTCTTTATGCTGATATAGAAACATTTCCCCAAGTCATTAAAGGACCATAGATAATATAATATAGTTGTTGATGTCAGAATTATTTGGGTAGTGACTTTTAATATTAACCACAATTTACATAGCCTAATTATTACACATTTTAAAACTTTAACATACTTTAAAAATAGATTGTCCCAGGCCTGGTAATGGCTCAGTTGGTAAAATGCTTGTCACACCAATTTGATCCCCCATGTGAAAAAGCTGAGCACTTTGGCACACTTGTAATCCCAGTGCTCGGGAGGTGTAGACAGGTGGATGGATTCCTGGGGCTTATTAGCCATCCAGCCCTGCCTGGTTGGTAAGGTCAGGGCAGTGAGAAACCTTGCCTCTAAAAACAATATGGGTGGCTCCTTAAGGTCATCTAAGGTTGACCTCCAGTTTCTACATATGTACATGCACCTGGGACCATACACACAGAGTGTGTGAGAGACAGAAAATCACTTAGAAAAAATATAATGTATGCATCTTCTAATCATGATGGGGTCTACTTGAACCTGACTTTTAAAAGGGGGTTTTGGGGTCTGGAGAAGATGTCTAAGAATGGTTAAGAACATTAGCTGCTCTTCCAGAGGACCTGGATTTAATTCCCAGCACCCCCATGGTAGCTCACAACCATTTATGATAGCAGTTACAGCTGATCTGACACCTCCTGACCTCCACAGGCACCAGGCATGCACATGAGCACATATATAAATCACCCACATACATTTAAAAAGGGGGGGTTAGTTATCAGAAAGGTATGTTTTCTTGTTCATTTGTTTAATTGATAGAATTTTAAAAGGTGGAGCATATTAGGAAACATGCTAAACAATAGATATTTACATAAGAAGTAGGCAGGTTTGCTTTCTGTCACTTAGTATGAAATCCCGTCCTGTTTTCCGTTTCTAGGAAACAGTGTCACTCATTTGGTAAGTGTGCCACACTTCCTTGAGTCCAGTCTTAAAACTATTTGCTTTTGTGCCCTTTTGGTTTTCTTTCCTTCATTTTCTTCTTTTGCTCCTGTGTCTTAGTTGAAACAAGACTTAGAAATATTGAGGTAGAGTAGAAATTGGCAATATGAGCAGACATAGGAGTTTTTAACCCAAAAGCTTATTTTATGGACTTTAACATATGACAAGTGCAGACATCATGCTATGCCGATTGTGGGCTTCAGTACAGAAACAGCATATTATGTTTGTCTTGGAGGGAGAGTGGAGCTCAGATCTGGAAACTTTTACAAGAGGTGATGCCCAAAGTGATGTAAAGGATGTAGGTGTTGCCAGGTGCTAGGAAAGAAAGTCATTCTAGCAGGGGAAAAGCATGCAGTAGCCCAGAAGCCTGCCTGGCCTAGTTCCAGGAAACGCAGCCTTATTGCTGGAACATGAAATATTCAAGGGATAAGAGAAGAGCAACTTTTGAGAAAGGCTAGAAAACCAGGTTTGGATTTAAGGGATTTCTATGTCCTACTGGAGGGTTTACAACTTATTATATAGGTGATAGGGAACTAAGAATGGATGTTGAGCCAGGGGAATCGCTTGATGAAGTTACTCTTGTTGAGAAGAAATCAGTATCAGGGTATCATGTGTGCACGTGACAGACCTGAAGTCAAGGGACACTGATTTACTGACCATGTTTATGAGAATGTTTATGAGAAGTTTGACTTCAAATATGTTCCTCGGGTAGTAACTTGAGCTGCAAGAGAAAAAGGATCCTTCGTTCTCTCAGAGGAGGACAGGCTGGGCTAAAAGTGCCCCAGAAGCTGCCCTTCTTTTTTTCTTTTTACTTTGAGGCATTTGAAGATGGGAAGTTTTATTTTTTAGAGCTCTCATAAAAAGTTCTAGGTGATTTGTTATCCAAAATGAATCCACTTC